GGGGGGGGGGCGGCAGGTGCGCCGGGCGCGGGCAGCGGCCCGTCCCGTTTCCCGGCACGCTCCCTCCCTTGCCCAACTGCCTTGCGAGAGCCAGTTGCCGGTACGCGCTTTAAGCACTAATGCTAGAACCACGTTATGCTTAGCAGTATTTCAGCAGCGTGTAAGCTGCCGTTTCCCAAGCTGAAGTCCTCGGTTAGGAGTGGATCGACCCCTGCCCCGGGGCGGCTCCGGTTGCCGACAGACCTGAAACACTGCCACAAGAAACAGTAGCTGCAATGCCACATCGCAGTGGAGTCTTTTCCATCTCATTGGTTATGGCTAACTCTGGTTTTGTACTTAAATTAGGATTTTTCTCAATTTCACGTACTTAACTGCAGTACCTACGCTAGCTCCGTTTTCCCAGTACCACACGAGTGACTGGCATGCAGAACTGGTACCATCTAAGAGACTCTGATAAGGAGAAGGTGGAAGTGGCTATTTAATACAAGAGCAAATTCTGCCACAGCAGCAATCGGTGAGCGTTGAAATGAAATCTGCTTCACTAGAAAGAAAAACGCTTCAGCTTTCTTATCCTAGGCTGTGACTTGGCCAAAATTAACTGAAGTACACTGGAAATCAGCCAAAAAATTCTGTGGTTCTTAAAGTTCAATTACCAAATGTAAACAAAGCTAAACTAAAGTACCAATATTAACAAAGTTTACCACATGCCACTTTATTGGCTATTACTCTTCTGTTTAGAGGGGACAGGGCAAAACCGTCTACCTCTTCTCACATTCCTCTGGCAGCATTGTTTCTTATACGCTTAGTCTGGTAAGATCTCCTTCATTCTGCCCGCACCAAAACCTAAGGTGCTAAACTTAATCCCACTTCTTCAGTTAATTCTCTCTCTTTATCTCCCAAATTTCATCCTCCCTGGTTTCACTCCTACCCATGTTCTCATCTGCAAGGCCTTGACTTGTATTCACTATTTTTCATATTCACAAATCAAATAGCTGATCTACAGGGTACACCTGTACATATCTTCTAGCTAACTTTTTCCCAGGCATTACTTCCAGTAGAGCTTCCCTCTCCTTGAGGTTTCCACTGAATGCTTTTCCCACACCTGCCTTATATCAACCTTCTTGCTCCAGCGTTCTCGAGTATCTCTACCCTACTCCTGAATCACCCCAGCCCTACATCTTCCAGCTCCCCTCCTTCTGCTTTTGTAAAGCCAGCTCTTCCAAAAATTCATCTTTCACCCCAGACCCCTCTAGACTTATTTCCTGCACTTTGCTTCTGTCCACTATTTTTAATTCCGTACTCCTGCAGAAAGCCCTCTCTCTAACATCTGCCTCTTTCCCCCAGCAGGCCCATCTTCTCTCTGCCCTGACCTCAGCTTCTCCTCATTCTCCCAGGCACTCAGCTCTCTCCACTCAGGTTTAGCATCCCCTCTGCTGGCCACTTCACACCCCTGCAAGCCCCCTTTTGCAAGGGCCTATGGTCCTTTGCCCTCTTCTTTTCCTCCCCCTTAGCAGACAAGCAGAAATTAGGGCTAGTGCAGGAGTAGTGGGGTGAACCCACCTTACCTGAAATGTGCAAAAAAAGAGGGTAACTTCCAGGTGGAGAAGCAAGTGAGGCAGCTCTGGAAAGAGCTTCCTGCTCACCTAGCAGAGGAAATGGGCAGACTGCAAAGGAGAGAGGCTAGACTGAAACTTCCTCCTGCAGCATTGTACCTTCCATTGACTTAGCCGGTTAACCAATTAATTAGGTTAACTCAATTGTACAGAGTATATTAAGGCAATCTAAGGACCTTCTTTTCTTTTATATGTTAAAAGAATAAAATCTTAACCTTACAATTGAAATTCCATGTTTCGATAATTAAGGCATCCCCTCAGCAGTCATACATGACATTTTATATTTTATATATTTGCTAAGAAGAGTGTTTTTATGCAGTCATGAAATAGCTTTGGGAACCAAAACTTTGAAATTATTAAAAAATATATATATTTTAATCATCTTATGCATCCCAACCCAAAATTTCAAAGTCCAAGGAAACGTAATCAGTAATGTCATGGCAACTAGAGGGAGCCACAAGTTTCCTTTTAAAAAAAAAATTATGTTGCTATTTTGACCACTGACCACAGCAGCTAACTTGACATTTTCATGCTCCAGATCCATCTCATTTAGCTTCAGACACCCTAAGAAGCAAGGGGATTACAAAGGGTCTGTTTAATTTTTTTTTTTTTTTTAAGAACTTTGTTGCAGAAAGTGACCAATGACTGGATTAACTTTATACTAAAGTCCACAAAATGTCACTTAAGGAATTCTTACCTTTTCGATAATACTTGTCGTTGCTGAAAATACAGACTTTATGAATTCCCCAATCTCAAGAGCATTCCAGCACAGAAGTATCTGATATATCCAACCGCCTTCTGGTTTGTTTACAAGAAAAGAAAGGTTTTACATTACAATTGTCTCTATAAGTTGTCTTAGTATAATTCCAAACTTTTTTTGGATTGCAACTTTTCTTCAAATTAAGAAACTTTACACTTACCATTACTTGGAACGTAGTTCTGAATTTGTAAAAAGGCATCTGAGAAAGGTTCTTTGACGTCAAATGGCAGATCAACCACCGAACTGTGGATTTTTTCTTCAGTATTTACTGATGGAATCACTATTGCTCTGGAACGTTGGTCAATGTTGTGTTCACTGTCTACAGCGGTATTCATTTCATGTTCCTCCTTTGGCGTTTCTTCTAGCAGTTTTCTTTTACTGCCTATTCCTGCAAATAATTGTGAAGTGAAATTATGTTTATTTTCAGAGAATTCCATGTTTTTCCCTATAATTTTTACAAGATATTAACCTCTATTGAGATTTTGATTTTTTTGTTTTTCCTCTATTCAAAGCGAAACACTGGAGTGCTACATTAGAATGCAAATGTGCTACAGATTTATGATTTAAGAAATACTAGTTCACATAATGGTCTCAAAACAGGGTTTCGAGGATAGAGCTTTAGGCGAAATTGTTGTTGTATTCAAGTAATTAAAACCAATGTTCAGGAAAAATATGCTTGTTTTGATCTTTAACCTATATAGTCCTCTTTCAGGATTATTAGGTCTCTTTCTTATGGTCTGTCAAAACATGTGTGCAAAAGGTTTAGGAAAGAGCAAAAAAAAAAACCACACACACAGGATTAAAGATTAGTAACTTCCCATAAGTTGAAAAACTTCACTACAAAATACAAAAAACCACAGTCATATTCATGCAGAAGTAAGACTGAAAGCACTTAGCAGTGTCAGTGTCACTGACTTGGGCTAAATTTTACAAAGCAAATAAAATACAACTCCTCCCCTCCAAAAAAACCACCCCAAAACACAAAATAACCAAACTGCGTAACCACATAGAAATGAAATGACCATTTACACATATGTTAATTTTTTTTGTTCTATGCTTCAAAGACACTACTGGCCAGAGATTCCAATCATGAATAGTCAAATAGTCAAAAGTTAGCAAGAACAACAGGCTCTTAAAGTGTTACCGTTATATTAACGCAATCTGTATTAACAGTTCCTCAAAGCATCATGAATCAGTCACTAGCAACTAGCAGTTTAGGTTCGTTACCTCTTGATTTTAAACCGCCAGAAGGAGTTTAAAATTCCTTCCCCCCCACCCATACAAAGCATATTTTGTTCTTGCTAAATCACTGTTAGTTAGTGAAGCATTAGTCCAGTACCTTTTTCTGCAATTCGGGCTGCACACTTAATTGTTATAGCAGACAGAAGATCTTGCAGTTCTGTAAGAATATTCCTTTTTTCCCTTACATTTTTCCTGCCCAATGTCCAAAATGTGCCCATTTTCTACAGACAAAATCACTTGTTTCTTCTGCATAAAATTGTCTTTATATGAGTAAGCAGTGATTTCATGATGAATCTTTTCAAATTGCTGGTGCAGCAGCACCAGTTTGTTTTCCTCACAGAGGTGTCTATGGGTTGCTTAGCAATCCTGTTTTAACTTTACATAAAACTGTTGGTATGCAATGAATGGGTTGGGTAAATCTGAGTCATTATCATAAAATATTTGGCTATTTATGCTTGTTTCTTGGGACATGAACTCCGTCTTCCAGATTATGATTTTGTCAGTTTTCTTGTTTTAGCTTGATTCTGCAGCAGTATTCTTTTCCGGAATGCCAAGTTGTCCTTCCTCAGACTTATCTTTCATGATTTTTAAATTGTTTTTGTCATTTTGTGCATGGTCTGCAGTTTTAGTAGTATGTTTTTCTTGTTCACATTCCTTTTCTCTTAACTCAGTCTCATTCCTCTGCACACTATTTAATTCTACCTCATTTTTATGTGTCCTAATGCCAGCCTCACTTTCATTTGGGTCTTGGACAAAGTCTGTGTGTTCAGACTTTTTTCCATAGTGTTCATTGTTAGTTTTACTAAATACACTTCCAAAGAACCATGATGTTCTGGTAAAAATACTACCTGCAACCCTTTCTCTTAGAATATCACTTTTACAATTTATATTTTTGGATTTTGTTTCTGTCTGTTTTTCAGCCTCTTTCTTCGTTCTTTCCCTCTTCTCTCCTGTTTTATCAGCAGCAGTGTTTTTTTTCAGTGTTATCCACGCTTTCAGTTAGAATTGCATCTTCCTTTTCAACATACTCTTTATCAGTTAGGCTTGTGTGTGACAGACAGTTGCTGGGATTTATCAGTTTTTTTTAAAGCATTCTCACTTTCTAGTTTGACAGTCTTTGAAGACTAGCTGTAATGCTGGTTGTTTTCTTTCAAAATTGTCTTCTCTCTCAGAGGACTTCTGGGATAAAAGTTCATATTTACTGAGACTTTTATCATACGGCTGCTCTGTTGCTTCTACTGTCACTAAATTTTCCACACAGGTTTCTTTAGGTTTGGATTCACCTGAGAACTTCAGTATTGCTTTATCTTTTGAAATAGTGTTTGGTGGGGTCTTCTGATACTCAGATTCATTATCTGTATTTTTATATCTTGCTGCACTGTCATGAGGGCTTGAACTGATGGACACAGGTGAGCCTAAATCTGATGATACAGAATAATATTTTCTTTTACTGTATTGCAGGCCATTTTTGTATTTCTTTCTGAGATCTGAATTAAGACTGTCCCCAGACCCCATTCTCTGATTCCAGGAGCTCTGTTGGGAACATGAATCTTTCAGTGTTATTTCTGCTTCACCTTTCTGATGATGTTGCATGTTCATAGGAATTTGTTCAGTTTGTAAACTCCTCTCCTGAAAAGCTATCAACAATAGTATCAAGTGCTGCCCCATCTTTTACTAATCTGGCATGTTCTGCTGTTTTTTCATTGTTCCGCTCATTGTTTTGCACTGCCAGCTGAAGTGCAAGAGTATTCTCTTTGGAGGTATCCACATTACTCTTCTCTGATTCTGTATGATTAACCTTCCGATTTGATGGGTCTTCAGTTTCTTTTCCCCTTAGTATCTTATCATGGAAGCTTAGTTCTTCTTGCATTCTCAGCAAGCAATTTTTATCTTTCATTCTGAAACTCTGTATTTCTTCCAGATGGCCCCTTTCTTCTGAGGTGTTGGTATCTGTTAGACTGAAGTCGTTAGATGAGTGGCAAGGAACGAAAGGCTGGCCGGTAATGAATTCCTGGGACTCCTTGTGTTTCTGATTCTGTTGATCAGTTAAAATATACAGGCTGAAATCTTTGATGTTCTTTTCATAAAACCCCAGTTGAACATTGTTATTTGAACTGGCTTTTTGATGCTGAATTTTGTTCTGTACCACAGTGTTCAATTGGTTTGCCTTTTTCTGATGTTTCCAGAATAAGACTGGACCTACTGTCATGTGGGATCTTCTCGACGTCCAGACAATTATCTGCACTTGCTGTCAGCTCCTGAGAACTTGGTATTTTTTGCTCAGAATCTACAGATTCTTGCACACATGCGTTGAGGTTATTTTGCTCTTTTTGCACTGCTTCAACTCTTTCCATTTTGGATTGTTCCTGTAGGTAAATTTCAATTTCCTGATGGCTTAAAGTGAGTATTTCTTCATTCATACTTACTGTGTCCTCTTTTTCTTCACTTGGTTCATCTTTTGTGAGTACATCCTGCTTCCTAGAATAAAAATCTTGTACCTGTGAATCTACTGTATTTTCAAAATTTAATTCTGATGGTAAATGTAGACAATCTTTGAAGATATGGATATCATAATAACCTTTTATACTGGAGTTCCCCTGACTTTCACTACTCTTGGAAACATGTTCTTCAGCGCTGGAATAACTAAACATGTGTACATACCATCTTTGAGATACTTCAGGTCTTCCTAGAATTTCAACAGATAAAATGTTTCGTGAAGCATTGTTATCTTTGACTAATTTGGCATTATGTGCTGCTTTTTTATTACTGCATTCATTACTTTGCACAGCTAGTGCGGAAAAGAGATTGCTGTCTTGGGTTGCACCCACATCTCCCTTTTCTGGCAACTCCTCACTACCTCTCCGATTTGCTTGTCCTTTGATTGCTGTATTTTTATGTCCTTGTAACATTTCATCATCATTTTCAGAATGAGGGTTTTTTCCACTAAAGTACACATCCTCTTGCAAACTCAGCACTTTTTCTTTTTTCGTTATTGAACTCTGAAACTTCAATATGTCTGCAAAATGACTAAGAGAGAAGAAATGCCTCTGTTCTTCAGATATGTAAGGCTTTCCTTCTGTATTTTTTGTATCTTTGGGATCAAAGTTCTGAGGTGGGCTAGAAAAAGAAGAAATCCGATCTGATGCAATTGATTCGTGTCCCTGTTGATTATCAATCAGATGTGTGCATACTAACACTTATAAAGCTATTATATATATTTTTATACCAACCTGACTGGCCATGTTTGCTTTCTGACTCCTGACTTCTCTCTTTAGCTTCCACGTTTTCCATCAGCTGGCTTTCTGACACTGAGACTTGTTCTGAACTGCAAGGTTCAATTAGCTTCTTTTTGTCAGCTGTTGATATATCAAAAGATGATTCTGTGGTATTTGAGGTGCTTGTGATGTCATTAAGAGTATGTACACTTGCTGGTAGCGTCCAAGAATTTGGCATGTTACCGTTTGAATCTATTGCTTCTGTTGCATAATTCTTTTTGTTTTCATCGTCTGTCACTGCTTTAACTGACTCTTGTGATGCTTTGTCATTGTGCGATTCTTCTTGTTTAAAAGTCTGCATTTCTTCGTTTCCATTTGCTTCATCCTCTGTTTCTGTGCATTGCTGGTCTTCCATAACTGTATCTTTCTCAGCTTGCCCAAAATTTAGAACATTACTTAAACCCAAATTAAACCAATTGGATTTGGATTCATGGCTTTCACTCTTTTGTTCTTCTTCTGTCAATACTTCTGTAACTATTCTTTCATGTTCATTATCAGAATATGCAGCCACATGAGAAACGTCATGCATTTGTGGATTTTTTTTTTCTGATACCAAACCAACATCCACATTCTCTTTACCAAAATACAGAAAGTCTGTCAGTCCACCTTGAAACCAACCAGATGCCATGGGCTCTCGCTCCTCCTTATCACTTGACTCTTCTAAATCATTTTCAGCAGTTACTATTTTTCTGCTGATGTAAGTATTTTCTTCTAAAGATTCAGTAACGGCTTTTATGGTCTCCTCATCATTTTTACTTCCTGTGGTGAACCATCCTGCAATACCGGAAACCCTCCAACTAGATTCAGTTGGAATGGGTTTTAATGGAAGACTGTTTTGAGTTTGTGGCTGTTCAGCATCTTCTTTTCCGTTCTCATTTTTTCTGAGCAACTTTTTGCTTGCTGAGTCCTCCTGACTGTAAGATTCCTTCGAATCTTTTTCAGAAACTGATTCAACACTTTGTTCCTTCTGGATGAAGTCTCTTGTATATTGTAGGAGTTCATGTTCATGCAGCTTTGATTCTGCATCAGGTGATGAATATTCACTTTCTTTGTCATGATTTTGTAACACGCTATCTTCATTTTCAAAAACGTACTCGTCTCCATCAAGACAGAGGAAGTCAGTCTCCTAAAAGAACAATATTAACTTTTAAAATGTTTTCTTTTGTAATTTTATACATCACTGTGTAATACAACAGTGTGTCTTTACTCTTCCTCTATGTAGTTGTACCTGTGTGTAACTTTACACAAAGGAATTTAGCTAATTATGATATTCCTAATGGTTATATGTGGTTTATTAGACAAAAATTAGCTTAGATGAACAGATTTTAAGAGATGGCAGTAAACACAAATGGAACAATAACAAAAAAGGCATATTTGAATTGTCTGAAATAAAAATGCATTGACACTTGAATTTCTAATTGGATATTGGATTTTTAATTGCTGTGAACTACATAGGAAAATCTGGTGATATTGGTTTACCTTAGTAGGCACTTCAACTTCTTCTGCAATAAAAACTTCCTCAACCTTCACAGCATCTTTTGGGAAATATCCAAAATCCTTTCCTTTCTGTAAAAAAAATAAAAGGAATGAGAACATTTACATTTTAGTAATAAGTATGTTAGGTGCTTGCACGTATGCTAGAAAAGTAGGAACAAACAACAAGTTTACAGGACTGCTTCCAACTCCTCCATTTTGTTTGGCCAAACAAAATGGTTTATTCTTCCTTCACAAAAGTGTGTTCCTTTTGCCACTTCAGAAAGCAAAGAGAAGTATATTAATCCGTGCTGCTATTTTCTGTTCCATTTTTATGGAAGTGTGTTTGTGCATACTCAAACCAGTAGCCTTAACACTGCTTCAACTGAAGACAGTGTTGTGTGCACAGATGGTCTCACTCAGCTCTTACTAAAATCATCTGCATCTCCCATTGACTCTCAAGGGGGAAAAAAATTATGCTTTAATAACAAATGAATCACAATAAGGTTCAAGAAGGGTAGGATATGAAATCCAAGTATGAGGTTGGCTACAACTGAAGAGAAAAAGGCAATGAAGATGGGAACGCTGCAGAAAATAAATAAATGATAATGCCTAAAAGAATTACACAAACACAAGTAAGGGTCAGTCTGACCTAGAAACCAACAAGTAACTTGAAGTTAGAGCACTGGAGGAATAAATACATCCTGGACAGCAAGGAAGAGTGAGTTACCTGCCAAGATGTTCTCAGATTAAAAAAGGAAGACAGCATTTAGACAGCATTTCACTGTTAGATGATAAGCGTGACAGATAACTTCCCCCCCCCAAAAAAAAAAAAAAAGAGAAAAAGATTACCTGATACATTCTAGTTTTGGAGCACTTAAAGAGTTTTACTAGCATTTGGGTTTGGATCAATGCACCCCTTGCTTCCTAGCTATAACTTAACTACATGTAGTAACTGAGTTACTACATGACTGTTCTAACTACATTGTCAATTGTTCCAGCTCACTAAACCTGCCTCATAACTTCTATGGGAACTTTACTTGAGCCCTGAAGCGTGAAGGCAGGTCCCAGTGCTGTTTATCTGGTTAAGCAACTGCAACAACTCTTTACCTGCAGACCTGTTAGTACCTGACCCAATAGACCTGAATATTTTTAAGGGAATCAGACATAATCATATAGCCAAACGACTAAATGAAGGAGACAAAACCTGGATTTTGATCTTGACTTTGTCTCTCCATGTTTGATCTTTAGCCACGTTTGACTGTTTCTTTCTATAAAAAGATAGTAATAGTGACCCATCTCCCAAATATGATGCTGAGCCATGACTAGTTAATATTAGAAAAGAGATGGAAGATCTCTAGAAGCAAGCAGACCACTGTTATGCTGTTATTATATTATCTAAATTATTTATAGGGAAAGTCTTGCATATTGAAGTACTTACACTTCCTGTCCACAAATTTTCACTTTTCCTTGAAAGTTTGGAGTATACAATTATCTCTTCCCCTGTTTTGAAGTTAAGATACCGGCAATCAGGCCCTAAGTAGTCTGTAGTGGCTTGAACTCTGCTCATTGCCGCTGGAATAATATGTAGAAAGAAAGAAACAAATAACTATAGCAGCCAGTTTATCTGAAGTCAGATAGAATATTGAAGACGACTGATATATATAATTACATGGCAATCTTTGTTAATACATCAGCACGTGCTTTATGATGATACCACTCAATTTATGTAGGCAAGTGGAAAGCTACTAAAAATACAGAATGCAAAAATTAAGCCTTGTCCTGCTTTCTGTTCTATTTACTACTGACATCAAGGGGAAAAGCTCCTGTCCTGTATGTGCATTGTTTTTCGGTCGTTATTCAGACAGGCTTTCAATGCTGGAATATCTGTGAAGAATTAGCACGGTCAAGTATTACAGGAAGATCTAAACTGCTGAAAAATATTTTCCAGGAATATTTATAATTTCATATTTTGCAAGTTAAATCTAGTAGTCATTTCAGGCATCTTGCCCTCTATTTTGAACATTTTAATATTTGAATTAATATTAAAAAGAAAAGAGGTAAGTTTAAGCATTATAAACCTTAAACATTCGCATTATCAAAAACAAAATTTCCAGTTCAATTTGAATGGCTTTCAATTCTATTTCTCTCCACCCCTACTCCCCCACAAAAAATTCTACTATGTGCTACAATCAGTCTGGGGCCTATTCCACAAACTTTCTGAAAGACAGATATCTCTGAGCATCCAGAACCCAGTGAAGTCAATCCTCCTCCACAGCAAAATTTTCCTCCACAGGAAAGAAAAAATCCATCAGTTTTTTTTTTTTTTTTGGAAATGCCAGCTTTCTTCTGCGGAGAGAATAAGCTATCCTCTTTGAAAGTGCAACAATTAATAAGGGTGCAAACCCAAAGGAGACAGCTTAAAAACTGCTCACACTACATATGATTACAACAAGTTTCACAAGGGTATTCCAGTGGATAAATTATCCATTATTTATCACTGCCCACTTGTGATTCAGTGGCCTGGTTGCCTCCTACAGAGCTATTTACTCCCCAAGAACTCTGCAACTAGGTATTGCTCTTACTTCATACTAAAAGCAGAAAAATAAGTAGAGAGAATATATTAACAGTATCTTTCACAGGAAGGATTAAAAAAAAAGTAATTTGCTTGCAGTAGAAAAAAGATTATTTTGCAGTATGTGGCTATGAATGTACTGTAAACACAAGATGTATGTCTTCTTTCTCAGTTGATAGGCTATCATTTTTGTTTCCTAGAGAATTTTCAATCTACAATGAATGAGCTAAAAAAATATTTGAAAGCTGCTTTATACCAACCATTTTGAGGAAACCCCAGGAAAAATACTTACTCAAGAGTGTTTTTACTGAACTTTGATCTTTTATATACTTTCACAACACAATTCAGCAAGCAAGATTTTCAAGAATATTCCCCTTTCTATTAGAAAAATTTAAGTCTATTGTTCAGAAACTTAGCATATTGACAACAAAATGTATTTTCTACGAGTATTTATTTTATTTCAATATTTCATCACTAACTTCAACATTACAGATTGTAATGGTTATATGTACAGAAAAAAACAACTTTTTTACTTACTCTCACATTCTCGATCACCACACTTCTTCCATTCTGAAAGTACCTTTGTACTCTGCAGATTTGTTAAAAATGAAATTACTAACAGCAAAATTCTCTGATCCAAGATCCTTGACATGTTAGAGTAAATCCAGAATGTACTGAAACTGAAAGCTGAATTGATATTCAGTTAACAAGAGCATTCTACATTATTTTCTTAATCTAACAAAACATTGGAAATAAATTTATAATCTCATTGTCCTTCCCTCATCTGCTTAAACAGAAGTACACTGTGCTGTCTCTGCTAATAATCTGCAAAGTCAGGTGTCCTGATCATATGCATATGTTTAATAATTAACTAAGTTCTGAAAGCTAGACTAATGCTTTGAATACAAAGAAACTAGTTATGATCCCATCAAAAATTAGGCTCTATCAGATAGGTTCTTTTGTATTGAGTTTGTAGAAGACTTTGTTAGGAAAATTCAACATGTCAGGAGTTATATTAGTATTTTTTCTGGATTATTAATTTAACATGAATCTATCTGATTTTAAGATGGATTGTCAATTCTATGCATATATTGATTCGCATGATTTCTTATATAACTACTGACATTTTTCTAGCTTTTTTGTTTAATAAACGATATTTTATGTGTACTGATATATTTTAGACTGTGGGTGGTCATCAGGATCTCAAAATAGAAAATTTTCCACGTAATTCTTTTGGAGTCTCACCCACCGGATACTAAGAACAATCCTTTCCCATGGGGAATACTTTCTCCACTCCAGTTGCTTTTAAAAGCTCTTGATGCTTTTCAGGCTCTTAAGATGACTAGAAATCCACATGCCTTCTCTACATCATGTATCACAGAGCAGTACACTGATACTAGGCAGATGATGTGTCCCATTTTTTAAGGAGTACTTTCTGTTTCTTAGCAACTTATTATCCAATGTGGAGTCACAGCAACGTTTTATCAAAGAGAGATTGCGCCTTAAAGCAGTAATTATGCAATGAGCGGTACACTGGTTGTATATAGGTATGGACTTGCACTATAAATGAAGTCCTGCAAAGTGGTTTGCTTTAGAAGTGAGACTGGCTTCAGATGTTTCACGTCATTGTCCTGCGCTTCTTGAACACCTATTTAACGACAAAAGGGGCTTCGCCTTTCCTTTTCAGCAGTCCTGCATGGGATAACCTCTGCTCTCTCCCTTCCTGATAAGTGTCCTAAGAATGTGCATTGCTTCCTAACCAGGTAATAGCCATAGTCATATGCTTCCTAGTAGTCTTCCCCTTCTTTCAGTCCTGAGGGTGACTCACGTATAATTGCCTCTGCCTTCCCTTTCCATGACCTAAAGTGTATCTCACCTACAGGATAGTGCTAGGCCCTGTCTCCTGCTCCAAAATGCAAGTATGGCAGACACTAGTATTTAGCCTAGCCTAAGAGCCTGCAAACAAATGCAACTACCAGAGAGCAGGAGAGGGCACAGAGTGAATTGCAGCCAGGGACACGTTAACCAGCAATGTCCTGCAAACAAAGAAATGGCAGTAGGCGACATGCCCTCCAGCTGCAGCCTAGTGTTTTGGCCCCCTCCTTTGCCACATGACCTGATAGCCAGACACACCTCTCCTATGACCCAATATAGCAGCTGCCTGCTCTCTTAGATAATCAGACATAGAGCTGTGTCATGCACCAGGGAAAATACAGTAGAAATCTACTCTGCCCCTGCTCTCTCCTGCCTAGCTCTGATCCCCCTCCACACCGCACACATTATCCTCTTCTCCTTCCTGGGTCCTTTAGGTTTATCTGTAAGAAGTGAAGTGGGAGAGGAAGAATGACAGGCAGCTAAAGTATGACAAATTCAAGGATACCTGGTGAGAAGAAAACTAAAATAGGCATTTTTCTTCTCATTCCTGCGTCTCTACAGATGGAAACAAACTGTTAAAAAGGATTAAATAAAAAATTTATATTGGGGGGAACTCTATATATGCTAAGCATTGTACAAAAATCAGAAAAAAAAAACATTTTCATCCTACCAAGGCTAAAACCTGGTCAGTCTTTCATAATGTTGCGCACCAGCCACGGGACAGAAACCAATCATTAGCATGGAAAGATTAATGGTCAATTTTTGACCCTGGTAACATGGAGTTGATTCACCTAAAAATGGAAAAGCCAGGTATTTGACACCTAAAATTAAGTAGTTCAGCAAGTTTACATAGGGGGACAAGCTAAGAGATCTTAAATCCGCACTGTATTACATTATTTGCCAAATTATCTCTGAAAGTGGCTCTGAATTGCATTTCACATGGAGAGATATCTTTGTCTTCGAATTAGTTTGGGTTTGCTTTAAGTTTTTTTTTTAATCAAGATGCTAAAAATGCTGCAACTCATCGTTGCAACTCAGTTTAACCTACGTCTGCGATTTTCAAGTTATTCTGGGCACTGTTCACTGTGCAGCGTATGGTCTCAATAGTAATTCATCTAGGTTTGAGGCTGTTAAAAGGCTGATTAACAGTGCCCTGATCTCTGTTGTTATTTGTTTGTCTCGTATAACTTCAATAATAAATCACGTTTAGATCAAATATTCTTTTCTTCTGCAAGTCACACGCTCACAGACATTATACAAGCATAACTTCCAATCACCTTTGTACTGAAGTAAAAGATAAAGATTAATGGGGTTTATCATAGCTGGCTTCCAAAGGACAAAGTTGAAAACTTTATAGCAGATAGAGACTTCGCTTTATTTCTATTTGGCAAGTAAAATTAGACACATCTGCAGAACTTAAGCAACAAATGTGAGTACTATTATACATGCAAAGACAGACAATGCTAATGAGAAAGCAAGCTCTATTTCCAACAGTTGTCATTAGCTTTTTAACTGGGAATGACACAGCTTTTTTGAAACTATTAGCTTTTTATTGGGAACGACATTTTAGTAACTTTAACTACTGATCTAGAAATATAGAGAACCCTTATGACATATTAAAATTCACAGTAAAGTGAATGGTATGATTTAAATAAATTGAGTAGCATGCTTGGGCAGATTGGATGAATCTTAAGACATGGTCCTGTATTAACACAGGACGCTGTATTTCTTAGAATATTCAGTATCTGCATTAACAATAAAGAACCCAAAGCAAATCATAAGTTTGTACAAATTCTCTTAAGTACATAAAAGTCAACACACATTTTATAATAACAATAGTTATATGTACAGTTTTAGTTATATTTTTATGATAGCACCACAAGACTCCATTCAGAATTTAGGGTTTAACTGTGCAGGATATTGCACTAGTATGTGGGAAAATATGGTCACAGCCAAAGCACTTACAATATAGTTCTGCTGACTTAGGATGTTTAGATGAAAATGCAGATCAGCTTTTACATTGAATCAAATATCACATCAAAAAGATTTTTTTAACAGGTATATTTTAAAAAGTAATCAATTAGAAGAAAATAAACATTAATTCACTGCTCTTCCAGTTAAATAAACCTAAACAGGTAATAGGCATTCATCATCCAGATTTAAACTAACTCTTTCAGTCAGGGTAATAATAAGAAAAAGCAATTATTGCTTTCCCATTACAAAACAGGTTACAAACTTGACAGTTAACAGTGCATTCCTAGAAAACCACAGATTTTCTTAGACTACTTTGAATCTTGATAATATAATTCCTAGCTTTGAATGCCTCACATTTTATCATATAATAGAACATTGTCATCTATTAACAATTGCCTGAAAAAAGTTCGTGGTAAAATAGTGTTGTTTTTTTTTTTAATAAAACAGGTGAGAAAAAAATCTGAAAAGGCCAAATGATATCCTCTGAAACACAGATCTCTTGACTACTCACATTGCCACTGCCACAGCATTTGATCACATCATAAATACATGCAGTCACATAAATACTCTTGTCAGTAGGGAAATTATTTTACAGATCTGCAACTTACAGAAATGAATAGGCATGCCCTGTTGCACACAATTGCTTTAAAATCAGCAGCCGAACCTGGATCTCAAAGTTATAACTGGGGCATAACCACAAGGCTGTACCTTCTCCCATAAAGAAAATATACTTTTAGAAATCCATTTGCAAATTTACTGGTTTCCAAAGTTAATTTTGCTGGAGCTTCTTCGCTCACTAATGCCTACGTTCCTTTCAAGAATTACTTTCAAATTTCCTTTGAATACTCACAGTGAAGCTGGTTTAAGCACAAGGATGTCAGTTTAGGTAAGGAAGCAGGAATTTGAAGAGGTGCATCTTTTATGCAAAGTCATGTTTCAGGTTATAATTTACGAACAATCTGTGCAAAATCTACTTTGACAAGGACTCTGAGTGGAACATCAGGGAAAAAAACACATTCTTGGAGTCTTCCAGTTTCTCTCTGTATCAGGACTGAAGAAAATTAGGACAAGTAAATGGGATAGAGTCAATGCACAGTTTAAAAGCACTACAAGAAAGTCTTCTAAATTCATATTTAAACCTTAGAAGGGACCATCTGATGTAAACACTCCACAAGGCAGGCATAGACCATACATGGCATGTTGCCCACTCAAATGAAGCATCTTAATTTCATTATTAGTTTTTCCCTTTTGGTCATTCATTTTTCCACATTACTTTAGTGAGAACAAGGTCTTTTTTCTTTTATTGCTAATCACCACAATAGGGAACAGAAATAAGTAAACATTTTATTCATTTCACTGCCTCAATGCTATCTGCACTTAATTCTCAGAAATCCCAAACTGTTGTATCAAATTCAGACTCTAAATTGTTAACGGTTTGAAATAGGTGGCTGGGGACAGAGGAAGGAAATTGCATCTATCGCCTCAGCCCTATCCATGGCTCTGAAATTGGTTCAGGGTGACAGAATGGGGCTTTGAAAGTAAACACAACCAAATGACTAAAAAGATTACTGCTTTATAAGAGACCTGCATACTACTTCTCCAGCTTCTTTGCAGTATCTAGCTTTTAGAAAACTCCATTCTTACAAACTCATTACAGAGGTTTAGGTTCACTGAGTTTCTCAGATTTAGCAAAGTTGACTATAAACAGCACAGTAAAACTCCTGTTATTCTAAGTTTCTTATAAGGTAGACGTTAAGCTATTAGATACATCACCTGCTTTGCAACTCTGCAACAAAAAACACTCCTGTATTTTCACCTTGTCAAAAATATATTGCTGCCTGTATCACACAACCTGAAACAAGAAATTAAATGTAATCAATCCACTCCTTAGTCCAGTTACCAGGACCCACCACATTGTTATTATAAACCCTGTCAGTATATACCTCTGAAACAGTGTACTGTGCC